TCTCTCTCTCTTTCACACACACACACACACACACACACGCGCGCGCATGAATAAAATGCACAAGATTAAGGCCTGTTAAAAGCCTTGTGCTCTCCTGGAGGAAATATATTTGATCAGTGTTAATCTTCACTGGCATCTGGGTGAAGGAAAAAATGACTTTGACAGCTTCCTAAATGGCTTTTAGGCTATATGCTGGTCAATAATAACAATAAACACCAAAAAAGGCATAACCAAAGAAAATAAACATAAAAGCAGCTCATTATGTGTTGGTCTAACATTTTAATATTTACAGTTTGTAGCTGTGATAATAACAAATGTTTCCTAAGCACCAAATCAGCATATTAAAATTATTTCTGAAAATTCAGCTTTGCCATCAAAGGAATAAATTACATTATAAAATGTATTAACACTTGTTATTGCAATTTGACCCGTAACAACAAAATTATTGCCAGAAATAATGGTTAACCTAGGATAATTTTTATTTTTTGTAACAATCTCTCATTCATGCCTGCAAAGTTTTTACACTCGGTGATGTTTTGGAATGTGTGCTTGTGCATGCAAAATATTTGTTACAATTATTTTTGCAGGTCAATTTGACCAGCAATTTCATGGTTAATGGCAGCTGCATAAAAAAAAATATATATATGTATTTTGTTATATCAGGTACCCTCGTAGGGCATTTATATTTACATTTATGCATTTGGCAGATGCTTTTATCTGAAGAAATGTACACAACATTGAAGGTGTACATTTTTACCAGTTCAAGCATAGAAATTTCACTGGGAATCAAACCCATAATCTTGCCATTGCCAAGTAGTGCCATGCTCTACTGCTTGAGCTTCACAAAAGCATACCAAAATAAATAAATAAAATACATGCATTTAAAAATAAATCAAACATGTTAAATTTAAAATAAAAAATAGTAACAATACTGTTTTTTTAATATTCATATATGTTTGAAAAATAAAAAAAAATACAGTTTTAAAAATCGTATGTTCTATGTTTATTTTTTGTTAAACGTTTACTGTTTTTACTTTATTTTTAATTTTTTAATTGTGTGATTTTTGGTGAACTGTACTGAATCTAGGGCTGCACGATTTATCGAATTGAAATCGCAAAGGCGATAAGGTGATTAGGCAAGCTGCGATTGTCATGCGTATCTTTCAGTGAAGCACGGTTCTGTGATCAACAGTAAATCTCCATCCGAAGGCCAGAGGGCGCTCTCGCGCTGAAACTGCAAATACACCTCGCAGAAGAAACCCAGGAAATGCCTATAGCGGTTGCGGAATAAACAGAAGATTTAGCTGCTTTGACTAATTCAACGTGACTAATAAACACACGACTACGACAATATATGGTTTATCTGAGTTCGTCTTATTATAATTTTTATTATAATAAAGTATATAATGCAATAGATGGAACAGCATTTACTACACAGAGCCGTAGTTCACTGACAAGCTCCGTAAACAGCTTTCATAATCGCAGAATGATTTCTTCGTATTCATAATCGCGCGATTAAATAGTCTGTGATTATGAACACGATTTTTCTTAGCTTGTCAGTGAACTATGGCTCTGTGTAGTAAATGCTGCTCCACCTGAAAGACTACTAATCACAGTACCGGCTTTACTGACAAGATGCGCATGACAATCGCATTCGATTAATCGTGCAGCCCTAATCTGAATCCAATTAAGGTCACTCAATTTGAATAAATTACACCCAGAATCTGAAAATAATACAAGAGCTAGAACAAAAAACAGTATTTTAAATTGTAAAAGTATGTCATATTACTGTTTTTATTATATATTTTGATCAACTAAATCAAGCCTTGGTGAGCATAAGAGACTTCTTTCAAAAACATTTGCCAACCCCAAACTTTTGAATGGTAAGTTTATATATATTACACAAAAGATAACTGTATTGTGTAGACCATGTTTAATTGTGCTAAAGAATAATATTTGTTTGTCTTTAACAACATAGGCATGTACCTTCTCATTGACGTCCAGCACATAGGTGCTGTGTCTCCACTTGGTCAGCACAATGAGCTCCTGCTGCTTCCTTTCCAAACTGTGACTCTTAGGAGCTTCTCCAGAGATTGGAGGAGAGAGATTATACTGGGAACAAACAGGAAGGAAAAGAGAGGGAGGAAGTGATTTGGTTGAATTGGTTTAAAACCAATTAGTGATGAGAGAAACACAAAATATAGTGGGCAAGCAAATCGAAAATCAGCAGAGTCACCACAAAAATAATATTCAGAAGAGAATTTATCCATAATTGTACTGGAAAATGTTTAAAGGAAAAATAAAGGTTGGTTAAATAAACCAGTTTACATACGAAATGAGTACTGACAGTGATAAAAACACAGAAAAGTAAAGAGAACAGTCATTGAGGTACCTCTCTCCTTGCCGTCCACAGCACCATGTGCGGTCAGATCCCCTCCTCCGAACATAAGCCCACCCAACCCACTCAGCCCCCCAGAGTACAACATGTGTGTATATGTTAGATGGAATGAGAGGATGTGTAATAAAAGAGAAGCGTGTGGTCAGATAAACAGTGTCCAGCAGCGACTGGGCCACTAGAGACACTGATCTCAACTAACTAGATTAGGGAATCAGGGTTACTTTTAGATTTTCCCAGTAAACCTCCTACTGTCCTGGTTAACACTTGAGCTAAAGTGGTCAATGATCACACATGATCCAAAGACAGAAGAAAGGCTGTCTGGGTATACTGTGGAAAAAGTTTAACTTACTTTTGGTAACTCCCATTCTGAGCGGGATCCATCAGCACTGTAGTAATACGGCCGCCCTTGTTCGTCCACATGCTTGATCCACTGTCAAACAAAGAAAAAGCATTCCTTACACTGCGTCTCATCCATAAGAAAATGAGATTTCTGTATGTAAGCAGCTCTTTCCAGCACCTTCTCATTGGTGTATTCAGACACATAGAGTGTGTGGCCATGTTCATCCAGTTCCTCAGACCAGCCTCTAGGGGGCGATCCGTACTGACTGTCTGACTGACTGGAGTGTGTGCTGGGACAAATCTCTTCAGAAGACAAATGCTGAACAATACAGTGAGACAAGACAATGAGGGGGAAACTATGTCAGAAAGACAAGCGAATCATACAAAAAAAAAAAAAGCAACTTCAACAGTATGGCATGGCACTAACAACACTAAAGTAAGTCGCTTTGGATAAAAACAACAAAATGTGAATGTTATTTATTTACAAATATTATTATATTTAAAATGGTTATACTTGTTTTTATATATTATTATTATTAAAGAAATAAATATATTTTTATACAAACCAAATGTATTATGATTATTATTATCAGTAATAAACAATATGTTGTTATTTAAATATAACACATTTTAATACACATTATTATTATTATTATTATTATTAATGTAATATTTTTACGCATAATAATAATAATTATATTTATTTAAATTATTTAAAATTATCAGTAATAAACAATATGTTGTTATTTAAATATAACACATTTTAATACACATTATTATTATTATTATTATTATTAATGTAATATTTTTACGCATAATAATAATAATTATATTTATTTAAAAATATTATTATTATTGGTAAAAAAAAACAATATATTATTATTACACACATTATATTGTTAATATTATTTTTATTAATTTATTATTTTTTAAATAAACAATGATAATAGTTGTAGTTGTACAACAATGATAAAAGTTGTAATAATATTATAATATTATATCTTAATTATATATATTATTATCATTATATATCCACATATAAAATAATAATATCAAAATTATTATTATTTAAAAAAACGAATAAAACACTTTAATACTGATTTAGCGCTAAGTTAGAGCATCTGTAGCAGATAACATTTTACCTGATATAAACAACAACACATAGCATGTCCCCCTTTTATTATGCCCAAATGTACACTTTTCCTCTAGATGGCAGCTATGAACAATGGAAAGAGTGAAACTTAGATCGAAACTTCAGATACGGCTGTCTTAAAGGAGTTCGGAAAACAGGTCGAACATTTTACTCTTGTAAACACAGACATACGTGTCAGCTCTTACAGCAACCAGAACAACTTAACACAGAAATATTTGTGTCAAACAATAATCTGTAATAATAGTAATATCCGCAGAGAGCAAGTTGCTCCACTCTGTTCTGTGTGAAGCTGGGTCAGCCGTATGTTGAAGCTTAAATATCTGAACAGCATTTTTCAAAGGCTTAAATATAGACTGAAGACCTACTTCAACTCTGGCCTAGTTCAAACTATCACACGCACAAGCATGTGGGCACACAGTCACACTTACATAAGCATTATTACATCAATGCAAAGATGTTGTATTTTACAGAAATTAGATATATTATTTTCGAAGTTGACCAATATGGCCTTTTTAATGGGCATTTTTCCAGTTGTCTGTTACCTCCATGTCTCCAGTGTTCCCTCCAGTGTCCCCACGACTGCCCCCGTTGTCCCGTGAGCGTGGTGGTTTCCAGGTCCTCTCCTGAGTCATGCGGTTGTAGTAGAAGTTTCTTCCACTCGTATCTTTGTGCGTTTCCCAGTCGCCCAGGATATGAAGAGGGGAGGAAGAGGGAACAGGTGGGAGAGACGACTGAGAGATCTTTAACTCCTGGAGGTTGGTGTAAACGGGGGACTCGGGTCGACACTGTCCGGTGGGTGATGTGCTCTGTAGACAAGATAGAGAAAGAGAGGCAAGACGGGAAAATTATATAATAATAATCTAATCAGTTCTTCATAAAAACTAATATTTTGTTTAACAGCATACACATACATGTCTCAAAATAGAAGTGGACAACGAGAAGGCCAAGACAAACATAACCAGCTAATAAAACTCTGATTGATTCTGCCAGGCACTGGGAAAAACTCTGACAGAGAGATCCAAGATTCACAAGGAGCCCAAGAAACATCTGCCAATTATTTTATTGATGTGTTCTCGGTCGACAACTGGCTGGACTCTAACACTGCCCCTTTAAAACACATTTTAAATGAGAAGAAAGCATGAAGAGAATTCAATAAAATTAAAAATTAAGCACAAAAATATTTGCATATGTTTTGCCAAAAAAGAGACACGCAGAACAACAGGAGGAGCCAATTAGAAAGTAACTTGAAAGTTCCAGACATCAGAGAATGATCATCTGTGCTTAATTTGAATTTGAGTCAATGCTGCTGATATAAATATATTAATCAGCCCTGTCAAAAGAAAATCAATCAATTTATTTGTCTGGCTGGACAGATTACACCATTCCTGCAATTTCCTGAAGTGTCTTGATTTATAAGAAAAGCATGATAAAACAGACTGGTAAAGATTAATTACAATGCAAATCTACAGGAAAAGAGATGACATTATATTTTAAGGAAATATTTTGATTTTATGAAAAATGCTAGAAAAAGCAAGGTCACGTGTATAACAACATTAAGGTTGCTTTGGAAAAAAATTACAAAATTGTTTTGACAGTACAACAGTCCAGCAGTTCCGTAGAAATGTCTGGTTAGCACAATTGAAAGTAAAGAAGTCGGTCAATGAAAAGAGTTATTTTAGAAAGTGTCTCTACCTCATTACTGTTAGACAGACCACGTCCTCGCTGCTGAAGGCGCTGTTATTTTGGTGTAACCCATTGTGAGCTTCACCATAATGAAAACAACCACACAATACAAATGAACACAGAAAACAGAGGAAACCTGAGCAACTGAAAACTCACATATACAGGAAGAACAGAAATAGAAGCCATTCTCTCACCTGAGACTAACAGAAACTACTGCTCCCAGAACATCAACAAAGCCACCGCTGGCTACTTGACTCGAAACCTACTGTAACTGGTAATGTGTAAGTTAGAGGATATATATCTGTGAATACATACGCCACTAATAAGTGACCCACCAGGGGTTCTTAAAACTTGGACGCAACATCTGAGGAAAAATCCTACAAAATAATGACCCATTGCTAACCCACCTCTAAAAAAAATGGACACAATTCCTGTTTTTATGGAAAGGCTGTTGGCAAAGACCTCAAATAGTCAGAGTATTTGGAAAAGAGAGAAAGAGGCCTGTTAGCCAATTCATCCTGTCATGCATGGAAACATATGGGACTTCCTGTCATACTGAAATGATAAGGTTAATCGCGATAATAGACTCAAAGCTGCTCCAACATTTTCCAATCTCCTGTGAGACTGTGTGGCAATGAGCAAAACATTCCAAAAGAGAACCCCAACATTTCATTCAGCCAAATACATTTTGACTGGCAGTCAAATAATCATTTATTTGTATACTGTAAATGATCACTAAACTACACTGCGCTAGTTCCAAGTCGTATCGCTACTCTTTCAGTTAACATAATAAAATAATTTAAACTCAGATTAATATTTCCATGTATGTATGTCCATGTATATAAATATTTTTTATTTGGTAAGTAGTGGCGGTTTTGATTGTGATCATGACCAAACTGTACATCATACACTCTAAAAAATGCTGGGTTGTTTCAACCCAACTTTGGGTCAAATATGGACTAACCCAAC